AAAAAAAAAAAAAAAAAAAAAACTAAATTAGACTTAGGATATTAAGACTAATATTTGTATAGCATTCATGCAGGAATGTTGTATAAATATATATTAAGTTATCTCGATTAGCGTTTACCGCATCGGTTCTTATTTTAACGTCATCAACGTCATCACAAATCACTCGACTTCCACCTTACATCATCAATCACATGATTATCATAATACGTCATTCTAATTTCATTTGTTAAAAAAAAAATAATTTCGGTTTTTAAAAAATATATTTTTTTCTTCGTGATTTTGTTTGTTTATTTTTATTATAGGAATGTATTTAAATTTATTATTTATTAAGATAATATTCTTAATCTCTTTTATAAATGAGAGAATTTTTTTTTTTATGTCGAAAAAAGTATGTATGTTACGTTATTTCAACCGTAAAATTGGCTTTTTTTTTTAATAAAATCATTTTATTACAAATAAAAGGGGTAAACATTTATCTCCATTCATTTAAGTCAAAGTACCAAATTTAGCCAAAATTGTGGCTTTTAATACTTGTAACTCTTGAAAAAAATATGTTCAAATGTAATGATAATCCTAACCAGGGGTAATCCGACGGAATGCCATTTTATAATAATTATTCGGATATTAAAGGACCGATATTTAAAAATAATACAAATTTATATGACAAATCTATTATAGGATGCATGAATGATCCAATCGTTTTCAAAGATCTCGTTTAAAACTTTTTATTGTTGCGCAGAAAAAGATAGTCTAACATAAACTTCAATATCAAAAAAAAAGTTATATATATCTTTAATTAGGTTCTCTTAATTTGGTTTTACAAAATTAAAAATTTTCGGATAGTTCCGGACTAGGGCGAAGTAGAAAAGTTCCCTATTTAATTATTGCCCCCGTTTGATCGGTTTAGTTTCATACCAGAATAATTCATGTTGATCTAACGGAAAAATTTAATACGTAAATGATCATCGAAAAAAAGAAAGATTGCTCCATCAATCCCTTAACTTTATTTCACCAATAAAAGCTTTTACTGCAAGTTATAGAAAGTGGAAAAATATGTATATGTATATTTTTTTTTTTACGATTCGTACAAGAACAAAACAAAACAAAACGTTTAATTTTTTTTGTCAATTCTTGTCAAAAAGAGATTAAGTAGTGTAATCTGCAAGTTATAAAAAAGTTGCAACAATTCAATCAAATCAAGAATTGCACAAAAATTGATAATGTGACACAAAATAATTCTAGATAAGTCACGTGGATTTTATTATTTGTTCTAATGGAGTAATTTCACGTCATGTTTAGTTTGGTTTGGCATAAATACAATGAAATCAATAAAATGATGTAAAATGATGTAATTAATAAATTATAAAAATCCAATTAAATATAATTTAAAATAATTCCCATTCATTGAAAGTTTATGCACGTTAAAATTAAAAAGAGAATAAATGGTTTATTGACTAATATAATACTATTATGCTAACGCATTTCGAAAATCAAAACAAATTCCTTAAGGAAGAGAATGATCGTCATAAGTACGCAAAATTTGAAGGTAAATGATTTATGCAGTTTCAAAAAGGAAATTTTGTAGAGGTTTTCGAAGTTTGCATAATTTTACGCTCACACTGAAATTTTTTAGCATGATCAACCAGTCACGAGGCAGAATAACACGTGTTCTTGGTCAAGACAAAAAAAAGACCTTAAATTAAAAATTTTCCTCCGATTATATTATATTATATTTAAAATGATATAAATGATATAAATGATATGCAAAAAAAAAAAAAAATAAATAAAGTTATCTTTTACATGTTATTGTACAATATGTTATAATATGTTTATTTTATGTTATTTAGAATTTATATATTTCTTTTATTTTAATTATTTATTTATTTATTTTTTTTTTTTTAGCATTACGCTATATATATACCGTATATATATATATATATATATAGATATATAACATTTTATTTATATTTATCAGCCATTGAAGAGCTGAAAAAAGTTTTTTGAAATTATTAATTTATTAATTTCATATTTTTAATTGTATTACTTGAAATAGTTTTAAATTTGATGTCATGAGTTCAACCAGTATGAAGTAAACCGGAATTATAATTAGTAATAATACATTATTATAAATATTATTTATGCTTATTCTTATCGGTTATTCCGAGTAAATGATTTGTTTGTGACATAAAATGGAAAAAGTCTCTTGCATATATTTTATTTAATATTGTGCTCGAGTTGATTTACGTACACTGCAGATGATCGGGAAGAAGCAACTTATTGAATAATAATAATAATAATAATATATATATATATATATATATATAATAAAAATATAAAACTTTTTAAAATATAAAACTTTTTATGTTTCAAGGATTTAAGCCCGCTTAAATACTAGTTATAAAATTACCAAAAGAATAAGTACGCGTATTTGAGTTGATGTCCTTATTTATCCATAACCGCTGAAAGAATGGACGAATTATATGTAATTATTTGAGCATAATTTTTTTAAATAAAGAAAAAAAAAACTTTTTTTTCTAAAAAAACTTACTTTGTTTAAAAATTTTTAATATAATTTGAAATAGTATATATAAAGTATCTTATAAATTGTTATAATGTTTCTATAATAGGCTATTACGTCATCCATGATTTTTTTTTTTACATAAACATATTACCAAAACACCAATTACATCTTTTGATTATTTATTTAAATAAAATAAATAAATAAATAAATAAATAAAAGGCATACGGATAAATAATAAAAAAAAAAAAATATAAGAATAATAAAATAAAAAAATTAATTGGTTCTGAATCTATAAAAACAACAAATGAAACCAGAAAGACAATACATCCTATTATTAAATTACCTATCTGCATAATGAACTAACATTGCATATATAATAAATAATGAATTTAATTTTTAGTAAACACGATACATCTTCTTAAAAGATGTTTCTAGATCCATTTAATTTGTTGAAAAAATTCCCAAAGCTTACTTGCTTTATTTACATCAATTCTTAATAATTTTTGTGCATCACTCTTACGAAATGGTAAATTCTTTTTAATATATCTTCTCGCTGAAGAAATTAAAATATATTTTGATGTTAAATATTGTACAGGAGTTAAACGTAAGATGGAAGTCACGTGAGCTTCTTTTGGATGTAAGAGAGGATAATGAGTTAAATGAGAAATGTTAAGTGGTTGACCCTTCCATTTTATATTTATATTAGCATTATCTAAACAAGTAGTTTCAATATTTAAATCTTTGATGTTTTTTTTGAGTTCGTTGATTTCCATTGTAGGTGGATTTGGGAAAAGAACTGATTTCGTTTCAGTAAATGTTGTCGAAGTAACATTTAATGTGGACTTTAATAATCCACGGTCTTGCATAACTCTAGCCAAACTATTACTTTTTCTCTTTCTTTCAGAAAATGGTTTATCATAACTTCGAATTTTAGAAATACTAGTCTTTTGTACTTTTGAAAAATTAGTGTGTGAATTCATTGGAAAATTAGAATTAATAGGTGAATTAATTGGTGAATTTAATAAATAATTTATCTTCATTGGGGAAGACGAATCATCAGATGATTCCATATCAATTTTTAAGTTTGGTGCAATTTTTTGATACTGTTTTACGCGGGAACAAAGGGTTGGTCCTACAATATGAACTTTATTATCAAAATTAGGTTCAATCTCTGATGCGTTTGATTTGGCCGTAGTTTGCATTGTTGTTTTTTCTGGTGTTAATGTTGTTCCATCATTGATCAAGCATGTGGAAATTGTGGAAATTTTTGCATGTATATCACCATTTGTGCCTCCCACACATTGAGGCACAGCCATCGTCATTTTATGAATTGATGAAGATCTTTCAAATGGTATATTATTATTATATTGATTACTTTCTGAGCAAGTTAAATCTTGAGTAGGTTCAGATAATAACATTTTAATTGATAGACGTGAACTTTGATTAAAATAATCCGGTTGTGAATTATGATTAAAATTTGAATAATTATTATTTGTCGGGGAATAAATTTGGGATATCGGTTTAGGTGTTTGATGCAAAAAATTAAAAGATGAATTATTTAAAGATAAAGAATCTTCAAAATTGTTCCTTCGTTTTATTACGAAATCATCATTTGGTGAAGTTGGTGTTGATATAGGCGGAGAAGGTGTTTGCGACAATAAACTACTACTATAATTATAATTATAATTATAATTATCATAATTATAATTATTATAGTTATCGTAGTTATAAAATTTATTGTATTGCGAGTGCATTACTTTCAAATAAATACTAATAAATACAATAAATACAATAAATATATAAATCAAAACGAAAAGAAGTAAAAATATATATATATATATATATAATATCTTGTGTGTAATAAATAAATATATATATAACGATATATACTGTAACGAAACGATATATAGGTATATTACTTTAATTTTATTCAAGGACTTTTTTTTTAAAAAGGCTCGTTGACGAAAATTCAAAAAAAGAGATAGTTCTTTCTTTCTTTTTTTATTTTTTTTTAAAAAAAAAGAAAAAAAAAGTTCAAATTTTTTTTTTTTGCACGCGATAATTCATTTTAAGGTACTGATTTCTTTATTATTCGGAGATTTGAAATGACGAATTCAATTATAAGATGTATGTTTATCAATACGGTAGTCATAAACGGTAAAAGGGTAACAATGTGAAGTATTTTATTTTTTACTCTTTATTGAAATAAAGAAATGCGAATCACTCCCGATCATGACATCGTAAGTTACTCTACATTTTTATTTATTTATTTACTTATTTTTTATTTTATTTAATTTATTGATTTTCATTCTCTCCTTATCCCTTTTTTTTTTTGAATGTTGAATATTTTTTTAATTTTAATCGAATTTTAAAATGAATAAATATTTGTACATTAACTTTCGTCATTTTTATATTACTGAATGTATAATTTTATGACATTATAAAATTTATTACTACTTTCGGAACTTTTTTTTATTTTATGAAAATAAAATAATTTTTTAACGGACCAATTAAAAAATTTTACATCAAATTCACGTTGATAAAAAAATTCAACTTTTTTAAATTATAAATAACTTTTTTTTTTTCCCTTGTGAATGGTATAAATAAACGTGTTTGCGTAATACAAAATTATTAAAGTTTAAGGAAGATCATCATTGATTGGATAACTCGAGTCACATGAACTGTAGCAATGGTAAATAGGATCACTAATCATTTTTAAAATTATTCGTTAACATTGTTAATATTATTACGCGAAACGATAAATTTGTTTAATTCAAAAATATCAATTGTTCTTTTCGCCCCTTCCACGATTTATAATTTGTTTTCTGCATGTTTAACTATGAATAGTAAAAAAAGAATAAATATTTTTATTAAACAAAATAATAATAATATGATATTTTTACGATTTTTCCTTTAGTTTACTTATATTTACTTACCAACATCGAAAGAGGATGATAATCAATTCAAATTATAAATGATTATATAATAATAATAAATTTTTATTTTTATAATTCATAAATTTTTTTACCTCGTTCCTCTCCTTTTTTTTTTTTTTAAAAAAAAAAGACAATATTAAATATTAATTTAAGGAATTTTTCCTTTGTTATATTGAAATAGTTAGAGTGTTTGTTTCAAGCGACATATTATGATCTGAGTAATAAATACATAACTTTATTTATATACATAATACTATATATATATATGTATATATAGATAGATAGATTATATTTATGCAAGAAAAAAAGAGTGATTATTTTAATCCCTGACAAATAAATTCATGCTTGTTTACCATTTAATGTAAATAATGTTATTAATTGTATATATACAGTATCTTCGAAAAATAGATCTTTTGAATTTTTTTTTTTTTAAAAAAAAAATTATACATACATATATATATATATATATATATAAATAAATCGTTCATTGTGAAAGGCTTTGTTTGAAATTGATTAAATTGATTGGATCAAATTTATCAAATTTAGGAAAAAAAAATAATAATTTTTGTTTGGTAGTTTCCTGTGCAGCAAGGATAAATAATATAATGACATATTACTTCAAAAACAGTGTTATGATCAAATTTTTAGAAATCTTTTTTTAAAGTATAATAAATAAATAAATAAATAAATAAAATAACACGTGAGCTGGAAATCCCCCGACTTTGCCGGTCACTTCTGTCAATAAAAGTCACGCGGGTACCAACTAATCATCAAAGAAATAAAACATGTGATTTTAATAGTGCCTAATTTATACTTAATTTAGAAAAATATTACAAATATTTCCCGATAGATTTTTTATATATATATAATATATTTAATAAATTTTTGTTTGTCACAAAAATATTCAATCATTATCTTCAAAAATCTCTTTTTTTTTTTTTCTATTAATAAAATGATTTTTTTTTTTACACGTACATTTACTACCGTGTGTAAATTACACAACTTGTAAACCAAGTTTACATGTGATGAGAACATCAAAAACGCCCTTTGGATTAAACAAAAAGAAAATATTAAACAAATCAGGTATAGATATCATTCAACAATTAGTAATCTTTTATTCTTTATTGTAAAACCGGTTCAAATAAAGTGTACATATAAAAGCCGTATCACACACGAGTTTCGTTTTTCGTTTTTTTTAATATTGTTCATTTTTTTACAACGTATGACTATTCTGCAAAAATTAAAGTTATTATTATATTTCAAAACCCCAATAATATATGATTGAGTTTAAAAAAAAAAAAAACAATCAGTTTTAGATTTTTTAACGGAAATTTCCGATAAACTGACAAAATGGCGTTTATTATCGTAACTTATTTAATAACGCGTTCGTTATTTCTATTATTTACTCATTCATTTTAATATCAAATTTTTCAATCAAAAAAAATTCAAAAAAGGTTTCTTTTTAAAATTTAAAAAGAGTTCAAACATAATTTCGCGTTCCTTTTATTTGTAAACTTGCAGTTTATTAGTTTATTCTTAACCATAAAATCAATGATCACAATAGATCATTGTAAAATTTAATTTCTCTATATATAATTTATTATTAAAGATTCATTGACTTTATTTATTTTTTTGCTTGATCGACACACAAAAGAATTATTGTGGAGTGATATATATAAATATAGTTTTTTATTGCACTACTGCACTAAAGCACTAAAGCACTTACGAGCTAGAAAATGTAATAAAAATCTTTGGGTTTGATCAGGTGTTTATTTAAGAATCTTCTCAATTCTTCTTTAGAAGTAAAGAACGAACTTACTTGTATTCCAAATATATATTTATTTAAAAAAAATTTTTTTGTTATCTGATGAATTCTGATGAATTCAATTTGAAAATATAATATATATATATACTATGTATGTTATGTAATGTATACATGTATGTATGTATATATATGTATATATATATATATATATATATAGATACTTTATATAGTTTCAGCCGGCATACATATACACATGAAAAATCGGTCATTTTGAATGACCAAGAGATCTATCTGATAATTATTAACTTGAATAACGTAGTATAAATTTTATTTGTTGTACAGTACCAATAATAAAGTTTTAAAAAAAAAAAAAAAAAAAAATTGTGTTAAAATAATTTTTAATATCTTCATTCATTCACACTATCATAATTTTTACACATGGTCCATATTTTTTTGTTTGAAATGATTTTAAGTTTACACATCTTCTTATCTGACGTGTTACACGCTTAAATGTCTAACTCAATGTAAAAATTATATATATCACACCCCTGAATAGATTTGATCTAAAATGTTTAAAGTGTTAAAAAATTAAGTTGTGAAATGTCTACATATAAAGGAAAAAGTTTGATACAGGTTACAAAAAAAAACGCCCATGTCTCCACGATTATAGGTGCTTTTAACCGGGGTTTATGAAAAAAAAAGTTAATTAACTATAATTAAAGATGACTTACATGTAACATAAATCTAAAATAGGAAAAAAAAACCCAGAGATTACCGGAGTAAATCGGAGTTAAAAATAAAATAAAATAAATATAAAATAATAAAATAATAAAATAAAATTTAAATAAAATAAAATAAGATAAATAAATTAGTCATTTAAAAAAGATCATTCACATATAATATGTATTTTTTATTGGATTTGTAATATCAATAAAAGTGCGGCTTCGGAAAAACTTATTAGGAATTTAAAAAGGGGTGTTTTTTAAATTTTTTTTTTTTTAAATTCATGATGATCATTGGCGTAATTGAATTGCTTCCCTTAAAAAAAAAAACACAAGTGTTTTTAACAACATCTGATGATCTAGACCTAACTATTAATTGGTCAACTAAATTAATCTGTCAAATTTATCAATTTCAATTAGAGAACGTTAAAGAAAACGCTCATATTACAACATCTGATGTTGTAAATGATTGTGAAACAACATACAAGTATTAATTTACCAGGTACGACGAATAAAATTAGAATTTATAATAGTAAACAAATTAGCATTAGCGTATTCGGTAGAAAGCCTGATAATATTTAGATCATCCCCAAAGTATTGTAAGTATTGTACTATATATATATAATATATATATATAATATTACCTTGTATATATATATATAATATATAATATATTACCATTTTCTCAAATTATAATAAGGTTATAAGATGATTTATCCGGTCCAAAAGATACATGATACATCTAATCCAACTTGATTTAACCACGAACTTTTTATTAAAAAATAAAAAAATTGCTTAGAATTACCCGTCAATAATGTTTATAATAATTTAAAAAAATTCTAAATTTGGAAATATATAGGTAATTTGTGCATTTTTATATGGTTTTGTATAACATTAGACCTGCAAAATTTTTTAACCAATATGGCTCGGAAAAATATATCGGACAATTTTTTGCTTTATTTGTTCATAATACTTTTTTTACTATCATCACCAGGAATGTCGACGAACCTTTTTGATAACTCAAATATTTTTAGTAATCTTTTTAATTATTTGTTTTCTTTATTTCCAACAAATTATGAACACATTGGTGACAATTTATTATTATCTGGATGATTATAAATATCTCATATATCTAAACAAGTTCATTTTGCAAATCAAATACTTAATTTTGTGGATTGTTTATTATTAAATTTCTTTAAAAAGAAGTACTTGCTTCGGTTAATCCCGCAAAATCAAATATTGATATGATGCATAAGATCGTCGGTCTACAGAATATAAAAGTACTAGATATACCGCAATTTTCCGTAGTTTCAAAAGCGAAGAGGAGAATTCCGCGGAATCTTTTACGGACATCTGCGTATTCGATTTAATAATAAGGTCGGACAAAGTCTTTTTTAAGAAGATATTGTATAAAATGTTCCGAATGTTTGTCGTAAAAAGAATTGAAACTTTTTTTTTATAAACGAAAAAAAAAAATAACAAGTAATTAACTCCCGAAAAATTTATTATTTGTATATTATAACCTGTTACACAATATAAATATATATATTTTTTTTTTGTTTCCATAATATCTTTGGTGGACCTCGTCCAAAAATTTATGGGATCTTTACTTTTAATGGATGAAATGAAGTGGGATGATATTAAATTTAAACAATCCCATGTGATCTTTTGTAACATAAATAAATTATAAAGTTTTGATTTATATGCACAGACAATTAGTTTTTTCTGGTAGAATAAATATCACGCCATAATTTATTATTATATTTTAATTCCTTTTGTTCTTTTACTATACATACTCTTTTTTTTTTTTTTTTTTACCACTTTATTTAAACAATCGGAAAATCCTGAAAATCCTTTTTTTACTTTTTTTTTAAAAAATTTTTACAGAAATTTACCGGTTATGAATTAGTGAAAGGAAAAGATTGAAATTTACTGTTATAGGAAAATTTTTGTTTAAAATTTCCGGGACAGATAAAAGTCAATACGTCATTTAGATCTTATATTTATGTTAAGACATATGAAATTATATACATTTATAGTTAAAACGCGTAAATATTTTACCCATAAGAGAATGGTAAGAAAGAATTTAAAAATGTATAACCTTCGATAGTTCGATTAGGAATTTAATTTAAAATCTGGATTTAGAATTTTGTACTGATTATTGAAAAGCCTTATGATGGCATGATCGATTTTATGGTTAAATGTGGCTTTTTTATATAGAAATTACTTGGCATTTTTGTTTAATCATGAGTCAATTGAGTCATGAGAGTCATGACAAAGAAAAAAAAGTGATAATTAAGAAATTATATGTAATAAAAGTACTAAAAGGAGAAAAAAAACCGGAAAAAACCGAAATGTAAGAAAATTTCAATTTTTAATACATAGGAATGTTATTACTTTTTATTCACGTATTCATATTACTCACATGGCAAAATTATTAATTAATCACCCACATTGTATGATAAAAATCTATTCTAAAGAGAGACAATTATATATAATAAACGCATTACACTGCATTAACAACTTTTCCCCATTCATCATTATTTAAGTAGGCTTAAAAAAATACGCTTGGGAAAAAAAAATAAATAAAAACAAATAAAGTATCTCTTTTGATTTTCAATATGGTTTGACAAATTTTTTTTATGAGACAGATGTTTTGGAATATATGAATTTCTTTGATTTCTTGGGGCAAAAAATCCTTACAAGGTTAATCGGCGTAAATAAAAAGATTATAATTGTTATTTCGTAATTTTTTAAGTCTCTTACATTACATGGTCTGATAACGCCTTATTTCTTTATAAGTAATAATTTGATCAATTGAATTTGGAAAAAATCCTTTTCTTCCTTGTTATATTTGCTACTTTGTGTTTATGTTAATGACGCAGTGGCTGATTATTTTTTATGTGGAATTTCAACGATAAATTTGTACGACTAAAAAAAATTTTCTTTTACATCATTTTACTCTTACACTTGCATCTACGGTAGGAAAGAAATTTTTTTTATTACGTACATGAAAATATTTTAAAACTCGGAGAAAAAAAAAAAATTGATGCGGTTTCAGATGAGAATGACCAAAACCGTTTTATTACATATTTTT